GGGCGGGCGTTTCCCGGCAGCCCTAGAGGGGATCCCATGCTGCAGCGTATTTATTCTGGAGCTCATGGGGAACGCCCGCACCGGTGCAGGGAAAAGTGTAATGAGGAAGGAGCAGCAGAAATCTGCTGGGAATCCATCTGCCCAGATGCCCAGCTCCTGGCTTTTCTCACCTGGGGGCGGAGGACAGCTGAACTTCTTCGTGTACAGGGCTGCAGCAGTGCGAGCATTTCGCTCCTTTCTTCGCCTCAACTCCTACTGAATCAGCCTTGTACAGCTCACATGAATGCCTGTGTCCCCTTTGTGCCATCACACAAAGACAGTCCTCATTTTGGGGCAGGTCAAAAGAACAACCACCATCAAAATGACATTCTGCCAGAGGTGCTGCTTGTTTGTAGCGTGGAGCTTTTTGGAACAGGGTATTCCCATTATTGGGAAGATCATGGTATGATCTGACATCAGCAGTAATAGCAATCAGGAAAAGAATCACAGGTCCTTTGAGTCACTCAGACTCCAAAAATCATGTTTCAGAAAAAATACTACCCCCCCTTTCTCTTGCTATATATATGCATATATGTGTGTATATATATATGTATATACACACACATCCATATATGTTATATATACTGTGTGTTTCTATCTGTGTGTGTGTATGTGTACATATGTATTTTTGTAGATACTTCTATGTAAATTAAGTAAAGTGGAATTTTAAGGGAAAACAAAAAAACCTGGAAAACTATAATATTCCTTAAGACATTTGTCAGTAGGAAATAGGAAATATTCAAATGAAGACCACAATTTGTGACTGGTAAAGTATCATAATAGTTTCAGTGATCTAATGAAAGATTTAAATTTGATCATGGATCAAACATAATTATGAAAACCTGAAAGGAAAGAAAAATAGCATAAATGTGGGAGGAACCAAACTTAAAGAACCATGTTCAGTATGGATTGATTAGATTCAATCTCTCAGGACAGACTGAATTCCAAAATAATAAGTCTTAGTTATGATCTACCAGTAAGCAAGAAGAATATAATTACATTCAAATAGATTATTCATGTTATCCGGCATTGCATTTTTTTCTCTTCCTCTGAATTGTTTTCTTTAAATAATCCTTTGCAACTCAGATTTTTTTTTAAATACTTTTATTTATAGCCCTTTTAGTAAACTTGGCACTTTTTTCTGATAAAGGAAACACTATTGAGCTCTATAACGATTTAAATAAAAATTTATGGACATGTATTTATTTAGCTTCTCGTTTATTAGTCATAAATGATTAGTGTGGTTTTTTCCAACTTTTTAACTGACAACCTTTTCTGAAATTAAACAGGAAAGCAGTGTAATCCAGAAATAATTATATTTACTTTTAAATTATACTGACCTCAACATTCTAGATATCTCAGAAAAATAGAGTTCCTCAAAATGTGTTTACATGAAAATATAACTGTTCTATTAAATATTTATTGTATCCTCTATAGTTAGTAACCTGGACAGAACAGATTCTAAAACCACAAACCAGTAAGATTTACGGATTAATGCATTTAGATTTTTTTTACCCATGATTTACATGATTTCTCCCAAGCAACAAGCAAGAACATTCTACAATTGAGAGCCATAGCAAAACTGAACAGTTGAAAGTGTTTATCAAAGGCATACCTGTCCAGCTCTTGCATTTTCACAGACAAAAGTATCGTAGAATACAGCAAACTGTGGAGCATTGTCATTAACATCTAAAATTCTTACGTAGACAGGAACACGAGTGGTATCTTTGGGGTTGTCTGACAGGAGAAGAGAGAATAAGAAGGAGTTTATTTTCCTACTAAAAGTTTTCTGATTTCTTTCAAATTTCATGGGCAATATACATGCAAGATTAGGTATGAAACTGGTCAAAATTTACAAACTGACACCAGGTGTCAAAATAAGGACATGCTTTGTCTAGAGTAAAAAAATAAATTATAGTATTGGTACCTAGTAAGCAATTAAGCTTTTACATGAAAATAAGGGCTGCAACGCTATGCAAATATAGTGTCTGAAAAGTAGGACCATTACTATAATGACAAATTTAATTATTTAGTGTGCTCATGAGTATTATTCAGCTGTAAGGTTTTGATTTTTAAATTTAAAATTATTTGTGATCTCTTTTGTTTTACACAGAAAAGACATTTTTGACTTTGTGCATACATATTCTGAAAATTTTTCAAGCCTGACTTTCCTCTCTTGTGCCTTAAAAAACAGGGAGAAACTCCAACAAAGCCAATTAAAATATCCGCCCCCCTCCCCCCCATCTGGTAAAGACTTGATTAGAATCAGAGGTTTTATGTTTAAATTGCCTTTAAAAATATGAATGTAGTTTTTCAGACCTTAGGTTAAGAAACAAGAATAGTAACCTCTCCCTTGCCAAATGCCAAAACCCTAGTATTATTTAGAATGCCCTCTCATTATTATAGGTTAATTCAGGAATACCAGTGTCGGTGTTCCCACTTGCTGATCTGGTTGCCCTACCAAGAATCTGAAATAATGCCTGGGAGTAAAACAATACAGCCATTTCTTGGGATTCTGCTGACTGGTGGCTAAATACTATGTGATTTTGCAACTTTAATGGAATGGGATAAGTAACAATAGAAGTGGTTCAAAAATACTGATTTTTTTGTTCCTTTTAAGCTGGTTCAAATAGAAAACATTTAGGAATAGCTGGCATTAAATTCACTTGGTTTTAATAGCACCTTTGCTAAAGAGTGTGATGTGGATCTTTTTGACATCCTGAATTGTTTAAAATGGAAGGTTTAGAGCTCTCTTTTTTCATAGCCTTTTGCATTTTTGTACTAACTTTCCCAATGAGTTCTATTCCTGACTGCTTTCCCATTGTGTCATGCTCCACAGGTAATATTTTTAAGGATTTAAAGACCTAAATCTTCTCCTTCACTTCTTTCTCCAAAACTAACGTACCTCTTTGGAGAATGCTAGCTACTCCAACAAGGTCCAGAATGTACATTTGCTCAAAGTATGCTGACGAGGAAATGAGTTTACAACTATGATAAAAACATACAAGGATACTAAGATTTTTCATTATATAAATACTTCTGAAAAGCATTCTTACAACATGGGACAGCACTGTGAAGGACTGTAAGCTCAGGACCATGCATCAAAAGGGAAAAAAAAGAAAGGTTTAAAGAAAAAATGTACAGCTACCAGGTGTGCTCAATACAACCAGCCTATTGCTCTGGACTACAGAAATGGGGACAGGCAGGCTAAGAATGGTTAATTGGCTGGGCACGATGTTCCATTTAGGACTCTGCAGTGTAGTTCTTGCCAGCCATGCTTCACTGCTGATCAGCAATTTTTTCTTGGTTTTTTTTTTGTCTGATGTAGAATTAACCCTAAAAATACAGTGTATTTGAAAGCAAGTTTTCCTCACTAGCTGTTTTCAAGCATCAGAACTTTGTTCCTTAGAAAATTTCCTGTGGGGCTGTTAGAGTTAGTCTCAATAATGTAACAGGTTTACGAGGACATCTTCTTTTGTCTTTGTAGTTTTAACGTGAAAATTACTAGAGAGAGCTGATTTAAATAGTCAAAGAAATGCTACAGCTTAGGGATCAAATTTGTCTTAGCTTGTAAGTGTATTGATTCCAAGAGCTGTAGGTGTACATACCATAGGAAAAAAGAATGAAATTATCTCTAAGGAAATGAAGGAAACGATAGAGGCAAAAACATAGATTACCATCCTGAACTCTGTTACTTTAACAGCAAAATCATGTCATTGTCCTCAGAGAAAAGGAAGAAAACAGAATTACTCCAGTGTTTTTATTTAATTGGGTAACATTTCAGAAGTAACTCGGACATTACAGGTCAGTGGTGGAAGTAGGTGAGGAAAAAAACAATGAAGAGACAGCTGCTGTTAGCGACCTCCAGTTCACTTTCCCAGAATATCTAATAGAAAGGGGTGGGGTGAGAAGGAGGGGAGTTTTTTTCCTCATGAAGTCACAGCTGTAACTTTGCAGGCTAAGGAAAACTGAAAGGAAAAGGAGACCAAATTGGCTTACTGATCTCAGCTGCTATAATGCTAAGGTTGTGCCATTGTGATATCTCACGGTCAAGTGGCTTAGAAGTATAGATGGACCCGTTTCCAGAATGAATGTTAAATATCCTGTCAAGGTCAGTGTGACGATCCAGAGAAAACCTAAATATGATAAAGAAAGGAAAAGTATTGTCAAAATGATAGAAAATGGAAGAAAGCATGTGTTTCACAACAAGTCAGCATAGTTTTTAGGTTCTACATGTTACATTACAAAAGGTTAGTTTTGAGAGGACATATATTAAGTTATGTAAATGCTTATGAAAATTCTCAAGGTTAGTTCCATAGAATGAGGAACAAAAATGTCAAGAATTTAATAAACATGATATAATCGTGTAACACTTGGTCATCTGAGCTTTTATAGACATATATGGGAATCATGAAAAGTAAGTCAGAATTTCAATTTAACAATTAAATAATTGTTTTAATCCTGAAAGGAGAATTGTCATTGATGTACTGTTCTTTCAGACTGTGACTGACAGGTAACTTACAAGCTTTTCGAAAGTATTGTTATAAGCTCTGCTTCTACATTTAGGATATATTAATTTACTAGAGATCAGGTTAAAAAAAAACCTATAAAAATAAGATCACTATTATGAGTGATCTAAACAGTTCATCAAGTGTATCTGTTTTCACTTACTCTACTTAACAAAATTGAGCAAAATGAAAAAATGCTGTAATATGAAAATAATGTCTATAACGTTTCGATTAGTTTGCTCACTCCACCACACACAATACATGAATATGTAAAACAAACAAACAAAACCCCAACAAACAAGGTGACAGCAAAATGCATACGAAAACAAAACAAAAGGATATTGCAACAGCCAAAAAAGACTGCTGAAAGTGCTGGAAAGACTTGCTCAAATTATTTTTTTTTAATACTAGGCGACTATAATAACTGTTAGAATTAAACAAAACCCTGCTATTTTTCAGAGAAATTATATTTAAGACTATACAGCTTATATGATACTCCATATATGGAAGGACTTTTAATGAGGAAAAGAACTTATTTTAACAGTACTCTAGCTAACAGTTTTTCAATAGGCAATTATCGCTTCTCTAGCTAACAAGATCTATTCCACATTGTTTCATTAAAAATTCTATACTATTTCATAATAGCCATGAGATAAGCACATACTTTTACCCTTTTATTTTCTTTATATAAAATAATCTTTAGGTTGCTATTCTGTAAATAATAGTGATGAGGGAAATGCCTGCCACAGTTCTTCAATTCATCAAGTTGTGTTAGAAACAAAATGAGCGAAAGCTTCAAGTTTGTTCTTTTTCCAGACATGATTAAGAATATAACTACTAAAATTGTCAATTGTCTCATGCAATTAGAGTAGATAAAGATGCAATGCTAAGTTATGTATATATTCTTCAATTTTAGAGGCTTGGTGTTGTCTCCTATCTTTTCCATACACACAGATAACCATAGGAGAAAATTAGGTTCGGTTTAATTTCCTAATCCAGTTTTACCGCTTGGGCCTCTTTAAGAAGTATGTGGCAATTAACTTCAAAGTCAGCAAATAAGGTTCTTTTGACGGGGTGTTTCTACCTGTTTCTTAAAGCTTATGCATGACAGAAAAACAAAATACAGTTTCCTACATTCAGCTAGATTCTATGTATCATGTAGCATCTAGTAGTATACACAGAGAAGATTTTAAAAGATACTAATCTTTCAATGTCTGATTTATTGGCATATTTGAGCACACACAAAGATAATTTTATCCTGTATAGCAATCACTCTGGCAAGCCTGCAAAGCAGTAGGCAACAACCAGAGCAGATGAGTCAGCACCAGGACCAACCATAGGAAGCATTAGAAAGCTCTATACCCTTCCTGGGCCATAGACAGTTTTGCACTTTTTCCCAGTGTCAAGCAAGAGGTAGTCCTGAAGAGCCTATCTGAAATCAGTGTGCAATTTTACAACTTTTCTGAGATTTGAAGTACTAGAAAACATTTCATGTGACTCTTGTGCGCAAGTCAATGGCGGTTGTTTAGATGGTTATGGATAACATCATTCTCAATTCTATCTCTGGGACACTAAGAAATGACAGAAAAAACATCCTCCCTGTCCACAACATCTATGTGAAAATTCAAGTTATATTACTATTTCTCTTAATTTCTTTAGTAAAGGATGTGTTTACAGAGACTGTAGTATTACCTTATTGGACTTGAGGCTGAATCAGGATCTCGTGCCATTACCGTTCCTATTATTGTCCCCAATTCAATATCTTCATGCACCTCAAAAAGGTAAGAAGATCTGCTGAAGACAGGAGGTTCATCTACATCTTCTACAGAGATTTTCACAATAGTTGTATCTTTGAAAGGCCCAAGATAATAAAACCGTGGATCCACATGGGTATTCTCAGCTTCTACTTTTAAGGTATAAAGTCGTCTTGTCTCATAGTCGAGTGGCTAAAAATGAAGATGATGATAAGGTTATTAAATTACATTACATATTGACAGATGTTGACCTATATACATAAAGGAAACTGAAGTGGACTCAAGCCTTATCAGACCTTGCCCTGTGTTGGGGGAACCCCAATACAGTTAATTTTTCCACAGCATAGGGATCACTTTCTCTAGTAAGAAATTTTCATTGTTTTTAGAGGAAGTTTCTCTTCCTAAATATTATCGGAATTATCAATGACAAAAAGATTTCCAGTGCAAATTTACCAATTTTTTACTGAATTTTGCAGCTGTTTCATAAGAGTATGGATTTGAAACAGTCAATCATATAATCATTTAAAATACTTGAAATACAAACTTTAAATACTGACATTTCAGAACAAGGTACTTAATACTAATATTTCTCAGGAAATACTACAACATCTTGGTTACTCAAAATGGCCTGAGTATCCTTATTGTCAAACAAATGTAGCTGGTCTTAAATATCAGGAACGTTTTAGGTTTCTTTTAAGGACAGTGTGTGTCAAAGTTCTCTATATCCAGAGAAACAGTAAGAGCTTAATCTTGTTCCTTTTCATTTCATTTAATGAATACAACATCAGAGGGGTTTTTTGGGTTTTTTTTTTCAAAATAGATTTGACATTTTTGTCAGTAGTTCCTTATTAAAATGGAAGGAGGAAAGGTTCAGGGTTATAATTAGAAACCATTTTGGATAGAAAAGAACCTCTATTCCTTCAAATTTTTCTAACTGTCATAAATGAAAAGTGTTAGCTAATTAATGATACTGAGGAAATGAGCAAGCTCAGAATCTACTTTTCTGACACAAAGAAGACTTCATGAATTCCCTCAAAATCTCAGGGAGATATCAAACTGGTGGGTTTCATTCATCAAAATGGGTGGTAGAATACTTGTTTTTTCTGCCTAACTGCTTTTAAATACAAGTTAGTGCTCATGACAGATGACAGAGTGACAGCCTAGAGATTTAAATATTCTGTTTAAGAGCAGAAAGATACAGTCCAGTGAAAGAATGAGTTTCCCCACTGCCCAAAACTTGTTTTAAAAAAGTAGTTAGCGCAGAAGGGAGAATACCTATTAATATAATTGAGAAATGCAACACAGCACTGCTATTTAAGCTAGATCTGAGACTACTGGTGTGTCTATGAAGTGCAGCATGCTGCTGTTAAGGGATGCTGGCTTCAAGCCTAGAAGCAAAGAAGCCCTATTAGTCCTTCTTTATCCTAATTAACTGGCTTAATTTGCCAGAAGGTGCTCCATGAAGATGTAGTTAACTTGTTACTAGTACATTCACATCCAGTTTGGACATCTCTTCAAGCTATGCTGCAAAACACGAATATAAAATGTGTGGATTATACAGGTATTCCAACATATCAACAGTAATGAACAAAACTGTTGCCCAAATATGTGAAAGTGTGGCAAAGCAATTATATTGTCTGTGAGAACTTGTATAGAAAAACTTGTATAGAAAAAGTTCTTTTGCAGCAGATATTAAATTCAGACTTAGTAACTTAAGGGCTCAGTAAAGGAACACCAGCTATTTGTAGTTGTTCACCATTGAAAACAGAATGACAACCAATGTGGCTAAATAATAAAAAATAAAGTATATTTTCATAAATGAACAAACTGAGCATGTCTTCTTCCTTGCTAGTTAATGCTGTTTGCACTATCCAAATAAGCCACTTATTTATCAGTATGAGAAATCATCCTGAAAATTGTAAAATGTATCAGATTGCTAATGACAAAATGAGAAGATCTTTGTTCATTAGCATTTATTGGTGACATTTTTGGAGCTGCTGTGTTATATCTTATGAATTTTTTATGCTTGATCCAGTTATTACACTGTTTTCTCAAAAATGTATTGATTTAATATAATAGTCTGTGTGAAAAATCTGAAGCAAGCAAGAAAGGAGTAACTCAAGAGAAGCCTTCACAAACTTCTAGGAGAAGGAAAAATATCAGGTCCCAAACTTTGTATTTTCATGCCTTCCCAGGTAAACTACAATGCTAACTATAAACATAGAAGAACATAGAGATTAGAAAGGAACATATTTCGATCTTTGCAGAACTTATCTTTTCCTCGGTTACCATTAACAAGAGATGTGGAGATATATTTTATAGCAGTGTTTAATTTGTTATTCTGTGCTTAAGAGGATGTGTTTTTAAAGCTAATATAAACAGAGCTTTATGTTAGAAATACTGCCTGAACTCTTTAGAAACACATCTCAAAATCCCAAAGAAAAGGACTGAGGGCCTTCTGGCAGGGAAATTGTTGAGGTGCAGGAGAATGGTATTTCTAAGTGTGAGATTTACACTTCTGAAAGTGCTCTGACATACAAGGGTAAGGGCAGAACTAAAGCAAGGTCTGAATCAGGGACACCATCATTATTCACTGCTCCCATGTTAACCAGCTGATGTGTTGGAAACAGCAACAAAACAGTGTAGCTTGTGACTCAGCTTCCACAAGTGCATTTGTGTTCTGGCATACATTGGTCACCTAAGTTGATGAGAACCCCCTAGATAAATGTCTCTCAGTAGTGAGTGAACTGCATATTGCTTGCTGAAGAAAATAGGTTACATGAATACTAAAGAAGTCTGTATTTGAAATCACAGAGATAATCAGTACTAACACATTGGGGATGGTCCATTTTTTACATACTTCACTGGAAATAATGCTTTAAACCTATACTGCATCTCAGATATTGTTACCACCTATTATTTCCAGTTCATTTTGAAAGGAAATGGTACCATTCAGTCACTGATGGGGGATGCTTGCAAGTGTTAGGCAGTTAGAACATGTCATCACATGATCTAAGCACTTTTTTCCAATGAACATTTGTGGCATAACACTGACACCAAAATCATGTAGTGAATGTTGTTAATAGACACCTTTCGCACAGTTATGATGCCTTCCTGTGTGTCCTTCTGTGTCACGATATCAAACATATCTGTTCCATCGCCATCTATAATTCTGTACTCTACTTCTGCATTTTTTCCAGTGTCTGCATCTGTGGCTTTTACGCTGCCAATGGGTGTCCCGACTGGGGAGGACTCGGGAATGCGGAGGTGGATGGTACCTGTCAAAGAGACAAAGAGCCACTCAGGAGCCCCACGAGCCATTACACATGCATTAAGTAACACTGTGTTACACAATAGCTAATTACATATTCGCGTGTACCTTTTATTCTAGAGAACTTGCCATTTAATACTGGGAGAATGGGAAAAATATGAGGCAGAGAACTATGCAGGGGAAAACTTTAGGTAAAAGATTGAAAAAAAATTGTAGAAAAACAAAATCATAGAAAAATAGGACAGAAAAGGACCTCCATTCTCCTATCTCAAAGAAGAATCAATTATGTCCATACTTTTCTTGACTATATCATTCCTGAAACATCATCCGAAAGACTGCTTTCTGTTCTTTGCAGGCTTCACTCTGCTTTTTTGCCCTTAAAATGTAAGGCAAATCTTTTGGGATATATTTTACATCTATTTTATCATGGAAGCAATGTAAAGAAGAGAATCCCCTGACTTCACTGGCCAATTCTAAGCAGCAGATTGACATTCCAGCTTTCAAAATTTAGATAGTCAGTTACAATATTAAATAAACTTGAATGACATCTTAATGCAGGGATAGCTTTTTGAAAATCCACAAGCAGGAGGTGTGCCTATACTTGTTAAAGCAGTTAATTCATACTTAGGATATTGGACATGGCAATTTTGGTTTTGTGCTACTTTTCCTAACTCAGTTGTATCCTTTTATTGTGGTGTCTTATAGCTGATAAAAAACATAGGAATAAAGCTGTCATCATTCAGACATGCTGCAATAAATCGAAATAAATATCTTACCATACATTTAGGTTTTCTATGTCCTAGCCTTACTGTGAAAACTATAAAAAACGGTTGAGATCTCTGGTCCCATCTGTCAGAACATGCGGTAGGAAAACATGTGGGACATATAATGTACTGTGAAGAATTCTCAGAAAAAGATTTTAAAATTAGTGCAGATACAGCTGTCATTCCAAAGATGAAAGTTAAGTCATCAAAGCTCTATTGAAAAATATTTTCTTCTCTGGCCTTACTTAAGTGTTCCACAATTTGCCGTTTTACTTAGAAACTTCCTAAGGTAAGTAAAGTGAAGTAGAAAGATAGTTCAGTTAACAGTAACACAAAAGTGGAAGTGGTAAAGGCCATCAACCACGCTAGGAAAAAGTTGAACAGGCCACCCAAAAGGCAGCACACACATACCTCATTACAAATAAGTAGTACAGAAAAGTCCATAAAGAGAGTTATTAGTTTTGTACGTTCAGGAAGAATCATGGGAAGAGAACAGTGGCGAGGCAGTACGGGAAGGCCACTGGCAACATGATCCTATCATATCTTCAGGAAAGCACAGGTGAGCCATGTGAGGTTTATCAGTGCCTCTTAATAGACTATCTTAGAGCCAGCTACATTGATAAAAGAACTGTTTTTGTTGTTGGCAACACTCACTGAAAAAAACCCTATTATTCATTGGGATGTTTGAGACTTTCATTCTACAGAACTGGTTTTTTCTGTTCCGTTATTTTATGGTTTACCAAACCTAAAAAGAAAAGAAAAAAAAGGGCAAAAATCCCCAAAAAATAAACACAGAATCACAGAAACACAGAATCATTAAGGTTGGAAAAGAACTTTAAGATCAAGTCCAACCATCAACGCAACACCACCATGCCCACTAAACCATGTCCCTCAGCACCGCATCTACATGTCTCTTAAATAGCTCCAGGGATGGTGACTCCACCACCTCTCTGGGCAGCCTGTTCCAATGCTTGACCACTCTCTTGGTGAAGAAATTTTTCTTAATATCCAGTCTACATCACCCCTGGCACAACTTGAGGCCATTTCCCCTCGTCCTATTGCTAGTTACTTGGGAGAAAAGACCAATACCCACCTCACCACAACCTCCTTTCAGGTAGTTGTAGAGAACAATAAGGTCTCCCCTCAGACTCTTTTCTGGACTAAACAAGCCCGGTTCCTTCACGCACTTCTCACAGGACTTGTGCTTTAGACCCTTCACCAGCTTTGCTGCTCTTCTCTGGACACGCTCCAGCACCTCAATGTCCTTCTTGTAGTGAGGCGCCCAAAACTGAACACAGGATTCGAGGTGCGGCCTCACCAGTGCCGAGTACAGGGGCACGATCACTTCCCTACTCCTGCTGGCCACACCATTTCTGATACAGGCCAGGATGCTGTTGGCCTTCTTGGCCACCTGGGCACACTGCTGGCTCATGTTCAGCCGGCTGTCAACCAGCACCCCCAGGTCCTTTTCTGCCGGGCTGCTCTCCAGCCACTCCTCCCCAAGCCTGTAGCGTTGCATGGGGTTGTTGTGACCCAAGTGCAGGACCTGGCACTTGGCCTTATTAAACTTCATACAGTTGGCCTCAGCCCATCGATCCAGCCTGTCCAGATCCCTCTGCAGCATTCACATATAGTTTGTAATTAAATGTTGAATGAAAAATATCAAAATTTAATTTCTTCTTATGATTATGCTTAGGTAGCTTTTGATATGAAACTCATATACAGCAGCAGAATTAATACTTATGGCCATATACACTGCACATTCTATTTATATGAATTTATTTTTGCTCAGTTACATTCCAGTGTTTCAGTGGAGTAATTTATTTTGCAGTTGCTCTGACATTTTCATTACCTTTCTCAAATACCTAAATCTGTGTACTTTGCTGTGTTAGTGTATATTCTCTCTGTAATTGCCTAATGGTTAAAAAAACAGAAGAAAAAATAGCCTCTGCTCCCATTTAGTATTTATTCAGTACTACGTGAGATTATGGTGAAAGACCACTTTTTTTTTCCAATTAATATTTCTGTGTTATAATTAGTTTTATGGCGTGTCAACTATTCCCTATATTTCTTTTTGGAGTGCTTAAAACTACATCCCCAAGCTATGCCTTGTAGACGCTACTGTGACTCCCACTGCAATAGCCAACTCATTTAGTCGACAAAGTGGTAAGAGCTCATATCTTGAATTGCTAATAAGGTAGTGAAAACAGTGTGAAAATAACCGAAAATCTATAATCTGAAAGAGAATTTTATGTATAACCTATCAATTTATAGAAATCTCCAGCATAATATGACTCTTCATTTTATTATTTTTGTCACTGAAGACACTTAATGCATTGACTAAGTATGGCATGCAGTGCACCTTCGGACACTGTATCAGAACAAACTACACCAAACTAGAACTATTCTTGCAAAGCTCTGATGTCAATCCTTTTTCTCTCACTTCTCTTCTTCCTCAAGGAGAGTAATTTAGTGTTTGCATTTATTCCAGTGAGTGACGTTCTTTAATTTGTCTGTCAGGAATGAAAATGGGAGGATCAAGGAAAGGAACAGCTTTTCTATATACTAAGGGAATCAGCTGGAAGATTAAAGTCTACACACTTGTGGCTGGTAATACTTCAGTTGGTCATAAAAAATGAAAAAGCCATCTTATTCATGTTTACCCTTCTTCCCATTTACTCTTGAATAGGCACATAATGTAAAGGTAAATATTTTTATAGAATAATACAGGCTATAGTCTCACAGGAGACATGGGCTGCCATAACGCAGATGCACTGAGTTTCAGTCAGACTCAGGCTCCTAAGTCCATAAACCACTTTTTCCATTTATCATTGTTCAACACCATCTCTTTACTTCTGAGAACACTTGGAAATACTACAGTTGAAACAGAGATCCAATATCTGAGGTCTTTGACAGCCTTTCTATGCAGAACCTTGATAACATTCTAAATTTTATCATATTTCCTCAGAAGAACAGCCACTGCTACCTGTATGGTTTTCAGGAGAACTTTAAGAGAGGAAAAACACTGAAGAGTCCTTGCTCTGTAATCTAAACAACAGAGAAAGTAATGGCTCTTCTGAGGTTTTTTGAGAACGTAAGGTAAAATACAATACGTAGAATTTTCCACAACTCTAACATGAGTGTCTTGTAGGAGAAGTTCAATCTGTTATGAAACATTTTATTAAAACATATAGTTGTAATACACTACTGAGTACTGTGAAAACATAATGGACCTTTTAATATTTTTCCTGGTAATTTATAAATCTGATATGATTATGATTGTCTCATGAACCTAATACATATCTGTTTTTTATTAATGGAACAGAATAAGAATAATTTAACTTAATCAGTATCAATTCCAGTAGTCTTATTGAACTCTATTAAAATAGGGAATCATTGTAATGTCTATTTGTATTTTGAGATTAAACATAAAGACTTTTTTAAAAGTCAGTATCTACTTTTACTGTCATATATCTAGTAAAATGAATCAGTTTTCTAAATGTTTTAGCTTTCATTTACAGTGAAAAAATACATTCATATCTAGCAGTATCTAGTTATTGGCAGAGAGAAAGTAGAGAGAAAGACAAAACAAAACAACAACCACCACCCCTCTCCCCGCCATGAGAGTAAGACTAGAAGTTTTTTTAAAGCAAAGGCCAGTTCCAGTGCTGTGTAGGAGAAAAAATGCCTAGAAGGTTGGTCTAGAAAGTTGATTCCATCATTTGAAGTGTGGGTATTAATTTAACACACTCTTTAAGAAACAAGAAAAATAAAAGAAAAGCATAAATATACATGTTTGATGCTTATATGTTCCCTTAAATTTAACTGTTGAAATTAGCTTTTCTGTAAAGCTTTAAACATGACACCTCTTCGAATGTTGTCCTCAATAGGTCCAGAGAGGACTAATAAAGCATTCCTCACCTATGCAGCACTGGAACTACCATAATCCTCTATATACAAATGGAAACAAAAAAAATAATAAATCAAAAAGTTGTGGAAAAACAAAGAACATAAAATGACAAATTAACAATAAATTTTGTCCAGAATAGAGCCTCTGTGGAAATGCACAAACTGTAAGAACTCGGTTGTTCATGATTTTTCTATTTTGAGTGTGCATATGAAATCACATGCTGATAAACATCTGAGCTAAACACATACATATTAATTACAACATTAAATTGGACAAAATTATGTACATTTGTGTCATAAAGAAACGTCAAAATCAGAATCATTTGAAGCTGATTCTGTTAGTTTGAGCCTGAAGGCTGATCATCAGTAACTACTGAATTTAGTAGCATTGTACAGAAGAAAGAATGGGTGGAGAGGATACACTAAATCCCTTAGCTATTAACTATGTCCGAACCATCTTGCAAATATTACAGCTCCAGTATACACAAAAGGCCTCAAATGTATGTAAAATGCTTAACCTTTAACAAGTTTAATGCTACATAGTTTAAAATTTCCATATTACATAGAGAGCAAGAATGGTTCTGTATTTTAGTTTGAGGATACAAATTCTTGAAAGCTGTATTATCAGAAGTTAAAAAGCATTATAAAAGGTTTTGGTAAACTTAAACTGTGAAAAAAAAAGTTAAATTACATTTACGTTACTTTGGGAAATTTCTATTAGGTTTTGTAGCACTGTAACTGGAAATGTACAAATCTGCTTGATTCCCTTCAAGTAATTTCTTTTCCACATTCCTCATGATTAAATATTTAAGCAGATACTACAAATCAAACATTTCTGCATATTTAGAATTACTACATGTTTTATTTTCCAGTGGGGGAATATGTAAGATTTAAGCAATAGGTAAGGAAAAAGAAAAACATTGCTCTAATGCTCTTATAAGTCCACCTACCACCCCCTCCCATAGTACTGGAAACTATTCCAGGTTTGATGCCGTTATATTTGACCATGTAACTGTTTTCCTAACAAACAAATGTTGTAACATTTAATATACTGCTTTAATGATAGTGAATAAATCAGTACATAAGCCTTTTGTTCATGTGTGCCCCATAATCTAGATTTACTCTAAATTAAACCAGATGCTGATTGCTTAACTCTTTAGTTTGAAGCTCTTACAATGCAAGGCAACTATTAAATGCCGCTTACTCTGGGGGAATCGAGGTGGATTGTCATTGACATCAGTTAAAGTGATGTTCACGGTGGTGGTCCCTGATAATCCACCCATCTGGCCTCCCATGTCCTTTGCCTGGATAACTACTTGGTACTGCTCCCTGTTCTCTCTGTTCATGTTTGGCAAAGCAGTCCTGATGATGCCTTAAATAAATAAAGAAAAAACAAAAATTGTTAATGATCTCTTTATTTTTGATGTGCAGCAATCTGTTGCATCTTTTTTTTATTAGTTTGTGAAATATATTTCTAAAATATTAATTTCATGTTTTAAAATACTTATTTCTGTTCATAAGCTTTATAAATAGTCTTCAGTACAGAACCTTTGTTCTACATCACATCTCCCTTTCCAGTTTACATTTCATGCTAAAAATGATTCAAGATATTTATGCATATGGTTTTTGAGTAGAAAGAACACCTTTTATTAGTCCCAGTAGAACCATTAAGAAAAAAAGAACAACATTTTCTAGGACACAAACATCTATTCTTGTCTTTATCAGAAATGTTGTTACTTAGATCCTTAAGCTATCAATAGTACCACTGTGAAGTTACTTATGCTTCATAGTGTCAGCTGTAATAACTCCAAGTTTTTATATTTATTATAAGAATTATAAATTATGAGGGGAAAAAGCAATAAATATTATTTAAATTAGTTTTTAAAATTTAATGTTTAGGTGATATAAGATTTTTAAAATGAAAGAAAAAGTCTACAGTTTATGGTATATGGAAATAATGACAATTTTCCTGACCTGTTTCTGGTTCCACAGAGAAATATGGTTGTCCCTGAAGTATGCTGTAAATTACTCTGGCACTGTTTCCATATGAAGGGTCATCAGCATCGGTAGCAGTAACTTGCACCACAGAAGTACCTGAAACATCCAAAGTCCATTTAGTTTCACATGGTACTACATAGAGGTCCAAGAATAACAATTTCCATTTGAGAAAACTCCAAAGAAAATTTCAGCTAATGTCGATTGGACTTTTCAAATATATTTATTATCCTATAGTCAATTTCTAGGTACATTCTTCCCTATTTCAGGATCTCATTCTACATAAATTGAATCTAAACTTCCCTAATAGCACATGCGTGATTAAGATCTAAATAACAAAGGTAAACAACAGCTACTGTTGAGCTGAATTCTTATCCTTACCCAGCTACAATAATTTTATACTTATGTACTCACTTTCTCTTTTCAGAAGACTTGTTTTTATTACAATAAATATCTGCTTTCCATTACCTAGAGCAGATTTATTTTTTTTTGTCCAATGATGCCAACATGATATGAAACTGCACATGCAGGAACATGACAGAAAAAGATGATTAAATAGGTCACTGGAACTTGGGAAAAACTAGTCATCAGTTCTCGTTACCTTCTAAGTGTTAATACAGATAGATGCTACCAGAAGAAATATTGCCATATGGACTTTGAAATCTGGTGGTTATTTAGACTCCAGAAAATTTTCTAATCTTAAAAGACCATCTCTAAATGTGGAATATACCAGTCCTTCAAAACATGAGATGCTTACCATTGCCTCTGCCATTTCTTGCTGAATCAAAATAGCTTCTACATTCTGTTAATCTCTTCCACCAGAGATGGAAGTGTCAGTAAGGCTCTCCCCTATTGTACCTCCATAAAGTTCATATGTGATTTTAAGTATATAGGAAAGAAGTGAAAAAAACAAGGAAAAGAAAATAAATCATCATATGCATGTGACTGGTTAGCCACAGGCTATTCTGAGGATCAGAACACTTTCAGACCTCTTTCTCCTTTTATCCCAATTCTTTCCCTCCACCAAATACTGCCAAATATTGTGAAATAAAGCACCTGTAAATCCAAGCCACTTGGCACAACTGTTTATTCCATCTCATTGTTTGACTACACTACATATTTATTCTAACATACATAGAAAGGCAAATAGAAGCAAATGCTAAGCTTCCTCCGTTTGTTTGGGATTTCACAAGATGATGACAAATCTGCTTTTGACAAGGCACTTGTTCAATCATGTAAACAATTGTGTCAATATCAATGGAATGAGCACGTGCCTAACTGTTGAGTCAGAGATGAGTTCTCACAAATGTTCAGTTTTCAACTGCTTTAGAACAGAAACACTTGTTTCAGTGAGTCCCTAAAAGTACTTGCATCTCATAAAGAAGGCGTAATAGGCAAATTCCTGGTTGTATTATTACTGATATCAAAATGGAATGAATCAGTGATTTAACAGAACAAAGTCTCAAACACAAAATAAAACTGAAAAAGATAAAAAAGAATACTTTCCCCAGTACTAATGATTGCTTTAGTGATCATCTAAACTAGGGCTGAAACTCAAAATCCGAACATCTTTAAAATATAAGAATATATAGGGGTGGTAGAGTTGTCCTAAACCCTTCATCTGTTTCTGATTCACAAATGTCTTACATCTCCAGCCACACTGAACTCCATTTGTAGATATATGTCTATATAACTATTCTGTTAAAAGATACAGAGGCTTTTTTGTTGAATATATCCAAGATCTGAGGAGTGTTGCCTTGATTCTGAAATGCACTTTTTGGACTATCCTAGTATGTAGCAAACTGCAGTGCTAGAAAGTATACTTGTTCCTAAAGAATACGTGCTCTGAAATAGCAAAGACGTGTTGTGTATAAGAAAGATAAGAACAAATAGTGTTCAGTAACTTCAATGCTGTGAGTAAAAAAAAAAAAGGGGCAATAGAAAAAAATCAAACCACTAAGTACACCAATCAACATGGCATTATCCAAGTAAAGTTTACAAATCCTCCATTTTATATCTGTAAAAACAGAGAACAGTCATCGTCAAGGCGTCTATCACAACAGCAGAATGTATTAATCAGAAAAGTCTACATTGCAAAGGCGTGAAAGGTGATATTTTGTCTCTATTACATGTAACTGAGTTATTTCTTGTTACTAATTTTCACATTTCCTTCATATGTTCAAACTGTCAGTATTTACTAAGAGGTGAATTGTATGAGATTTTTATTTCATTTTAATTTAAAAAACATGCAGAACTGACTGGAAGGGTAATTTGGTAGAAAACTGAAAAACATATTTAATAGCTTTAGAATAAATTAAGAAAAATTCCATTTGCAATATAATAATGTGTCTAATTGTTACCACCGCCTCAGTTATGAGTGTCATAATGCACATATAATTATTAATTAGTGCTATTTTAATACACATACACGTGAAACAGAACAAATCATGTCATCTGTCCTCTCTCACTGCAATGAGCATGGCTGCATGTATACCCAATAAAATCTATCAGACATTTCGGAAAACTGTACATTTGTTCCCGCTCCCTTTAATGTCCATGGGAAGAGACTTGGGCTCCTTAATGTCATCACTATCACAGAGTACAATTTACTCAGTGAGTTGTGCTCAGGCTACTGTACACCCCATTACCCGAAAGCAGTAAGGATGAACTATGCTTTTGAACGCTGCCTCAGCTCTTTGGCTTTTGCTGGCCAGCCACTGGTCAGGCATCTGGCAGGAAAAGTGCAGCACCACTCTTCTGCCGGCCATTCAGGGTGCAGAAGTCACCACTTTAATCTTGGCTCTTGCTCCTAAGAGGGAGGGAGACATGTTCCCTAGACTTCTGCCCAGGGCTCCTCTGAAAACCATGCAAAGAAGCGAACAGGAGGAGTGTATCAGTATATCAGTTATGTTGTGCACATCAGTTGTCAAACCATCAGCTTGTTTTGTTTTGCTTCGGTTCACTGAACTCACTGAAGACCACTGATGCTCAATAGTACAAACCTATTGTTTGCTCTTGTCTGAAACCGGGACCAGAAATCTGAAGGCACTGAAGACAATCAGGCGTGCTGGGGTTTAAAAACTACAGTGTGGGTGTGACTTGGTCAGCACTACCTGGTCTGGGCCTCGCTCTGTCTTTTACATAGGCACAGATTGCTTCCGATGAAGTTGGTAAAGTCTTTGGCCTTCAGGATCTAAAGCCCAATCTGAACTCTACAGGAGTGCATAAAGGGGACAGTGATAATATGCTGGAGAATATGGCACCAGTTATGTTGTTAATAAGACCTATGAATTCCGTAATTTTCTCCTTGTGTACTTGCAAATTTTATTATACAATAAACTAGAATTATATGGTGGAGAACTAGGCCCAGAAATAAACAGTCATTTTTCAGATTATTGTAGTTCTCAGAAGGCACATTTTAACGTAATTTTAATTATAATGTTTGAATCTCCCTAGGGTCTGGTACTATAGTAGTAATTAATGTATTTGGCCCTTTTTAATGTGTTCCTTTCAAACATCTTCAAACACCATACAAGGATTAATGACTTTGACCTCACAATGCATTTATGATGCATTAGATTAGTATTAGATAGATGCATTAGATATTAGTATTAGGTAAGAATCACTGAAGATAATTAACTAGGAAAAAGAACCCACAGAATATCCATTGTAGAGTTGAATTTGAAACTTTTATTTCCTTTTCCTTACTCCCAATAGAGTTATGTGATATTTAACTAGAGCAAGCACCCTCCATAGTAAATTATCCATACAAATAACGAGTTGAATTAATAGAAATTTTCTGCTCTTTTTAGTGGACAAGAGAGGAAATAATGACACAAGTTCTCCCCTGAAATAAACTATTGAATGCAGCAGGATAACAGAGCAGAAGTGGAAAAGGCTGCATATTCTGAGAAGTCCATGTCAGAAAGGTCTTGGACAACAATAACCTGGAAACTGGCCCCTTTTAAAGAAAAAAATTTTAGTCTTGGGGTTTTTTTAATTTTGTGTTTTTTGGGGTTTTTTCCCTCTTTTGTCCCCTCTCCTTATGGCAGTATTTGTGTGCAGAGTGAAATTGGAGTTTGTAACTATAAAGTTAGAACTATAAAAAAAAGATTTTAAAAAAATCTTTGTTAATAGGAAACAAGAAGGAAGTGTTATAAGATAAATGCTATGGCAGAGAGGACTAAACATTGGGAATTGGTGGAACAGCACTAATGAGAGAGTGTACAAAAAGCCTAGGGAGAAAGCCAAGCAATAGTAGCTCTAAATGCTGTCTGAAGGGAAAAACAAAAAGATAACCACAAGTAGAGATGGCAGGCTGACTGTAGGACAGCCAGCCTGTAGTTCACATGTAAAACCAGAGGGAGGTTACATCTTATGAAGCATACATTGATATCCCTAATTCAGAAGCAGAAAAGACTAGCTAGGGACCACGACAGATAGTGGAAGTAGCACTGAAGATCCAGGATGGAATAACAATAAGGAATGATTAGAGAATATATAGGCTACAACAGATGAACAGAGAAACATCAACAAACAAAAGAAAGGATGTGATGATTAAAAAAAAAAAGTTCTAAATAACAGAAAGTTCTGAAAGCTTGTCTAAAAGATACCAATAGGCAAAATACACAGGAAAAGCTGTAGAGAGGAAAATAGACTCCCCTGCAGGTCTGAAAAGAAACCTTCAAATGTGACAAAAGAGATAGATAGGTGAAGAATATGATGGACAGAACAGAAGATTGTAGTCAAAACCGTAAGAATATTCTGAGTCATGAACCTTGAAAGTAAGGAAAGGAAAAGAAGCAAAAAAAGAGAAAATACCCGGTAATCAGTACAAAGACTTCAGGAGAACAAGATGTCTTCTAGGATATTGACCCAACTGTAAGATCCTGAAGTTGGTCCGTTTATCTCTGCCTTTACTATGATTAATGAGCAGAAGAAGAAAGATGAACAAGACAACAAAGAATTTATGGGCCTTTGTCAAGACACTGTATTTGATAATAGAAATAGCCACGTTCTCAGGTATCCATCTGGCTAAGAAATCAAAACTGCTGTTTCTGGTCTGAAAGAGGTTGTTTTATGGCCACATCATGATTTGA